TTCCCTCTCTGTATGTGGCATCAATAGGCGGCGGAGTTTTTGTGCCCTATTTGAGCCACGGGCGGCTGAACCCGGGACCTGCGTGCGCGCACGTGTGTGCGTTGGGTGGAACTGCGTGGGTAACTTCTGCTGGGGTGGTCGGGGTGCGGTGGGGGATCCGATGCAGAGAAGAGCTGCCAATGAAAAGCAAATAAAAATCCTTCTTTTGTTTTGATATTTTTCACTCCCCACCACAAAGGAGGAAATATGCATATACATGTACATATGTATGTTCAAGGTGCAAGGACCACAGCAATAATAGCCGGAAGAGGCAGAAGAAAAGGGGCATAATTATCAGATGAGTGGTGATGGTGGTGGGTGGGGAGACAGTAAGGAACTACACATGCATACACACATACAGTTGCTTCCGATTGTCCTCCCCTTTTTACCTTTCTAATTCCAACACCAGCGATTTTGCCTTTTTTTTTATTATTATTTCTTCTTCCTTCCTTCCCCTTGTTTTGGTGTATTTTTGGACGCCGGCGCCCGCGTGGAGTGTGGTTCCTTTGCCTGCCTCTGTATGCGGTTATGCGCTACTTACCTGCCTCTCGGCGTGTTAGGGTATTTGTTTGGATGTTTTCCTTTGCGCGCAGGCGCCTTTATATAATATTGAATACCACGGTGTTTTGTCTCAGCTGCTCCATTGCCGCGGCTGCGGCCTCTGCGTGGAATTTCTCCGTTCGGCGGTGCCTGAGGCGTTCCTGCCGCGTTTCTGTGATGTGCGCCTCCTCTTGCGTTCCCCATTGTCTTTTTTTTCCCGCCACAGGGAGGGATAGTGCGTCGTTCAAATAAGCGCGACAGCGGGAAGGAGGGCGGCAGAAAGGCTGCGGGGGAAAACAAAACAAAAACAAAAGAGGGGGAAAAAAAAGAAGAAGCGGCACGGGGCGGACGGGAGTTGCCTACGCCCCTCAGCGACATCCGGCGGCGTCTGCGTGCGGTGGGAGGAGGCGAGGCGGTCAGCGGTGCGATGCACTCGCGGTGCGTTTTCCTCCAGATGTGGCTGCCCTACGCGACACAGGCGCAACTGCGCTGCCAGTGCGGCTCCGCGTCATTGCCGCCCTCGTCGTCCTCCGCTGCATTTCTCCACGCATCGCAGCTGCGCCTCAGCGGCGCGGCGTCCGGCTGCGGTGGACACCCTTTTGCGGGCGTTTGCCGCCACGTTGGGCTAAACCCCGCGTTCCTCCCCCAGGCACACCGCCGCGGCCCTCTGCGTCTCTGCACCCTCGTGTGTGCCCGACGCTTTGCCGGAGGCAGTGCCCGTCGCGCCCCCACCTTCGCGGAGGTGTCGGAGGCGTGCAGCATTCTTGGGGTGGAGGCGGACTGCGACCAGCGGCAGCTTAAAAAGATATATCGTGACTTGGTGCGAAAACACCACCCCGACGCCGGCGGAGAGGAGGCGGCGATGAGTCGCATCACCGTCGCCTACGATCGACTAAGAGGCATGTCAAAGATGGAGAAGGAGCAATACAAGCTGCAGAAGGATAGCTATCGTGGAGGAAGCTACTACGCCGCGAGGGGAGGCAGCAGCACCAGCAGCAGCAGCAGCGGGTCTCGCTACCAAACATCGGCTGGTTACGCCGCACATAACGCCCGTGCCGCACACGGCGCGCAGAGTTTTTACGACGCCCAAAATGGAGATTTTTTTCGTCAGGGACCCATGCGGTCCCAAGGTTACTACAACTACCAGCAACGAAGGTCAAGTTATGCGGAAAATCCTTTTTCATCGTCCCATCCGTTTGGTTTTTATACACAACTTAGAAGGGCATGGAGCATGCCGTTGTCGTATATTCTTTTGCGTGGCCTTGTGATGTATCTGGGGCTGTCTATCTTGCTTTTGCTGGCGTATCGCCAGTACCGGGATTGGCTCCACGATGATGGGTGGAAAATGTCTGAAAGCCTGGCACGCTATGAGCAGATGTCGGAGCTGCATCGCTTACGACAGGAGTTGAACGAGCGCGTTCGTGCCGCGCGGGAGGCTGCGGCTGCGCGGGATCCCAGTGTGCGGGTTCTTGTGCGACCGCCCGATGACGACGGTGACTACAACACGCTGACCACGTCGCGAAACCGGGAGTTGCGTGCCCTGGAGTACGCCCGTCGACGGCAGATGGAGTTGGGCGAGGAGGTCAAGGGGTGGCCGCAGTTCGGCGAGGACAAGGGCCGTCTCATACGCCGCGCGCAGGATCCCCCCGGCGTGGTTTTCTTTGAGCCACGGAAGGAGGACCTGCGCAGCAGGCAGTTGCGGAACATGCGCGTGGGTCGTGAGTGGAGTGAGAGGGGGCGAGCCCCGACAACGGTGGGCGCCAAGGAACCTTCCGGCGAGGGCCAGGCCCCCGACACGAACGCTGCAGGAGGCAGAGGCGGAGTCGCCACGACCGCCACTGCGACGGATGCCGCCAGCGCCAACACTGACGGCGGCGACGCTGCCCCTGCCGAGGCAGAGGCGGTCAGCAGGGTGAAGAGCATCATTGGCGTCATATTAGGGGGTGCCGAGAAAGCCGCACGGAATACATGAAGGCACAACTTGCTCGTTTTGAGGGAAAGCGGAGTTTATCGTGGGAGCGCGGAGTCTTTTTTTTTTGTACTTGTTGTTGTTGTTCTTCTTTCACTTTTTCTCCCTGTGTATTTGAGTCTTTGTTTTTTTTTTGCGCTCGATTTTCCGAAGCTGTGCGGCTCCTGTTGAGGTGACGCTGTTGCCTGCGTGAGGAGGAGGAGAGGGGCGGGAGGCGGTGCCCATCGCGCAGTTGACGCCCATCATTCTCACACGCTTGCTCCTGCATGGATGGCCACCAGCGAGGGAACACGAAAGAAGAAAAAAAGGAGCGGGACGAAACAGCAAATGCACGAAGAGAAAAGACAAGATTATATATATATATACTGAGTATTACTCCATGCCCTGCCGACTTCGGACGTTTGCGTGTGTGTGCAGTCTTGATTTGTTGCCCCTATTTTCTATTCTTTTATGCATTTCCACACACACGCACACAGCTGTTAAACAGGAGCAGTGTGCTTCCCAGTACGAGTGACGCAGTTCTATACCAAGATATATATATATATATATATATAAATCAAGGGGCGCGTTTATTGTAAGGAGGCGACTGAAGTCACGTAGGGAGACATTGGAGGTTTTACTTGGGGCTTGCAGACACGGAACCATTCTCTGTCCCTCCGTGCGAGTGTGTTTGCGTGTGTCGACGCACTGCTCTCGGGGAGTTTCATTCACGCTGTAATTTTGACAGGCGCATTTCTTGAGGCCTGGATAAACGCCGTTATTTCTTGCTTTAGCTTGACAATTGGTTTCCTTGCGCATCTTTTTATTTCTTGGTGGACATTTCCTTCAAGCAGACGTTCCTCCTGGACGGTGCCAACAACCTTTCCCGTCCGCGGGCTGCCATGGACTCGGACGGGGTGTGTCGAGGGGGGCTGACCCGGCTTGTGGATGGTGACGCGGTGGGGCCGGGCATGGGTGCGCCGCCCGCCCCGCAGTTCTCTGGGTTCGCGTCTGGGTGTTCCCCCCAGCCCCGGTTTGATGAGCGGCTATGGAGAAAGACGGGGCGCTCCTACTTTGACTGGGCACGCGAAGGGACGTCGCAGGGCGTCGGTGGCACCACCGGCCCCGGGGTGGGCCTCGCTGACGCCGTGGACGGGCGACAAAGCAGTCACTCGCAGATGTCTTCGGTTGCGCCCAACCCGGAGGACGACGGCGAGGACTTTGATGCGCCGTCGGTTGCTCTGAAGCGGCCGGAAACCGAGAATAATAGAAGGAACCACCTGCGTTCGTCGGAGTTGCGTGCCCGCCTCCCTCCCGTCTGGGGGGTCGATGTGGAGGAAGGTGGTAGCGACGGCGGGAGGCGTAACTGGTGGGGAGTGGGTGGCGAGTCTGCGGTGGCACGGAGTGGGAGCAGCACTCACGATGACGATGCTGAGAGCGCCGCACACCCGATGGGGCCATCCCTCGAGGGGTACAGGGGGAATACGGCGCTGCAGTTCTCCAACAAGGACCTGGAAGTCGTGCGCGCCATAGCACTCGCACTCATGGAAGAGGATGAAAAGAAGCGGCGACAGGAAATGCGGGGGGGTTAGGATTGAAGGGCGTTTCGCATACGCCAATCCATGGACGCATAGGTGTGTTTCGGCATTTGTTGCTGTTTATTTGACCGAAGTGATGAGGACGGCGCAGGTGGCTCATGTGTGTGGCAGCTGCCGATTCCTTGAAAAGGAGGGGGTGAAACGTGGAGAAAGTAGGGGGAAAGGCGCTTCAGCCTGTCTCCAAATTCAGCTCTCTGGTCTATTGCTGCCTCTCCCGCGACTCTTTCGTCCGCGTTGGTTTTTTCTCTCCTCCGCGTCATGATTTGCTTGCGTGCGTGAACGCGTCGTGTGCCGTCGTCGCCGCCTTCATTGAGTCTCCGCCCGCGCCTCTTTGTCGCTGCAGCGGAACCCGTGGCCGCATATTGAGCAGCAGCAGCAGCAGCGGCGGAGCGCGGGAAATATATCCCCCCCGTCTTCCCGGTTGTAGTGCCCCGCCGCACCTGTGGTCTCCGCTTTCATTTTTTTTCTTTTTTCTTTCTTTTTTCTTTTTCTTCATCTTATCCCCTCCACTCCTGTCAGTGCGTGTGTTCGCGTCTCGTGGCGGGCTGGATTCCACCGCCTGTACCAGCAAAAATGGGGCGGCGGCAGCGTCGAAGGGGGCCGATGCACAGCCACGCCGGCAGTTTTACGCCGTCGTTATTTCGTAGTCTTTTGTTACGGCCCGCAAGCGTCTGCTGAAAAAAAAAAGCGGCAACAGCAATAGTAGCAATAATAGCAATAAAATGTTTTCCCAATGCCAGTTGACAGGCAGCTTTTCTATCCGTCCTTTTTCCCCTTAACAGTTTTTTTTGTTTTTGTTTTTTTTCTGCACCAGCGGAGTGAACGCAGGAACGGTGTTCTCTTCAGGAAGCATGGGGGGGGGGGCACACACGTCAAATTTGGCTCAACTTTCTTTTGGTTACTCCATTCTGTGTATTTTCTTTCTTCGTCTGCTTATGGTTTGCCTTTTTCACAGCCTCTGCCTGCGTTGGCTGTGCGCGTTGCCTACAGAGCACACAATCAGCCCCAAAAAAGAAGGGCACAGCAAAACACCGGAAGGAATATATATATATATATATAACTTGGGACGCCGGCGAAAGGCAGAGATATTGAAAGAGAGTTGTATTGAGAAAGGTGTGCCTGGGCGTGTGAGTTCTCCTGGGGAGGGGGGGGCATGGCCTCAGCAGTCACCGGGGGAAACCCGGTGATTGTGGTTGGAGGGGGTTTGGCGGGTGTCTGCGCGGCGCACAGCGTGCTGGAGCACGGCGGCACAGTCCTGCTGCTGGAGAAATCCGCCTTTCTCGGCGGCAACAGCACGAAGGCTGCCAGCAGCATCACAGGCACCCCCACGCAGGGGCAGATGGACGCCGGTGTACTGGACGGCGCCGCACAGTTTATGCGTGACACAAACAAGAGCTACCGCGGCGGCGACGAGGCGGGACCGGTGTGACCGCCCGTGGCGGAGCTCTCACGGCTGTCGGGGCCGACCCTGGATTGGCTCACAGCACGCTTCGGCGTCGACCTGTCGCAGCTCGGGCTCCTCGCCGGGCACAGCCGGCCACGCGTGCACCGCGGGAAGGAGCAGTTCCCCGACATGGCCATTACCCGCGCGCTCGTGGAGGAGCTGGAGCGTCTGCAAAAGTCGCAGCCGTCGCTTGTGCGGCTTGTGACGAAGCCCCGGGCTGTGCGTCTCATTCGTGGACCCGCGAAGGATGGCCCCGTCTCCGGCTTGGTGGTGGAAAATCGCGAGGGCGAGCAGCGGGTGGAGCGCGGGACAGCGATGCTCGCCACAGGCGGCTACGCAGCCGACTTTGACTCCGGCACCTCGCTCTTGGCGCGCTACACACCCGCGATGTTGAATTTTGCGACCACCAACGCCGGGCACGCCACCGGCGGCGGCATCAAGATGGGAGAGCCGGTAGGTGCCTGGTTGACGGACATGCAGCACGTGCAGGTGCACCCCACCGGACTCGTGGACCCGGCGGACCCGGACAGACGTGTGAAGTTCCTTTGCGCGGAGGCCTTGCGAGGGGCCGGCGTTTTGTGGATGAGCTCAGTTGCCGCGATGCGGTGAGTCACGCGATGCAGCAAAGCAACGCAGGCCCCTTTCGTCTCTTGCTGAGTGAGGCGTGCGCGAAGGAGGTGCCGTGGCACTGCAAGCACTACACAGCGCGAGGCCTGATGAGACGCTACGGCAGCGGTGTGGAGCTGGCCAAGGAAATGAATATTGCGCCAAAAAGGTTGCAAGGGGAGTTCAGTGCGTACCAACGTGCGGCAAGGCTGCAGCGCCGCGAGTAGAAGCGGCATCGCCACGAGGGAAGGGGCCATTCCCGATGTGGGACGCAAGGCGACGCGGGCAGGATTCCGTGTGAATGCCCCGATTTACGCCGCGTTGATTACGCCTGTCGTGCATTACACGATTGGCGGGCTTGCGACGAACGCCCGCGCGGAGGTGCTGGATGCGGCGACAGGGAATTCCATTTCCGGCCTTTACTGCGCTGGCGGGGCAGCCGACGGTGTGCACTGCCAAAATTGCCTGGGAGGAAACTTCCTGCTCGACTGCGTCGTCTTTGGATGCGTTGCGGGGGCCGAGGCGGCTCGGTACCTGCTGGCCACTTTTCTCGGGCCCGCCGCCAACCACCGCCTTGACACGATTTGCTCATACCTCTCGCTGGGCCAGTTGCCGCCGCTGAGGCCACTGCCGAAGGCCGCACCGCCAGCTGCGGCGATCGCGCTGGAAGCCGCTGCCCCAGCAGCAGCAGCAGCAGCAGCGAGGGGCACGCGCACGATTACACGGGCCGACGTGGCGAAGCGTAATGCGCAGAAGGACTGCTGGTGCGCTATCGCGGGGCGGGTGCTCAACCTCGCCGATTTCCTGCCGGACCATCCCGGCGGCAAGCAGCCCATCCTGAGATACGCCGGGAAGGACGCCACGGAGGCGTTCGACCTGGTGCACAAGCGGGACCTGATTGATGCCCACACGCCAGAGGCAGTGCTGGGGCGCGTCGCCGAGTGAAGGCGCTGCGCAAACACGCCTGTGGGTGAGGGGGGCTGCCGGAAATTTCTATCGTGGTCGCGAAAGCAAAAAAGGGGGAAAAAGCAGCAACAACTAAAGCCAGCGTACTGAATATTTTTTATTTTTATTTTATTTATTTTTCCCTCCCCTTTCCCTCTCCCTCTCGCCACTGCTAATAGTATGCCTGTGGCTTCTCTGCAGTTGTTAATTTATCATTTCTCTTTGGCCCCTCAGGCATCGATGTTTTTTTTTGTTTAAAATATTATATATATTTCAGTTATGTGTTATTTTTGTTCGTATTTCTGTTGCAGTTGCGTTGGGCTGGCCGTCTGCTGCCGTTTTTTAATTTTCCCCTGCCCTGCCCTGTTTGTTTTCCTCCGCCGTTGCGTGGCTCGATGTGGCGCCTGCCTGCGCGTTGATACCCCTCCTCCCCCTCTCCGCTCTGCCGCACTTTCGCCTCGCCGCCGCCGCCGCCGCCGCCGCCGCTCCCCCGCTCGCACGCAGCATTAAGCGGCAGCCACATCCCCCGCGCGAGGCCATTGCACCGCCGACGTATTTGTTTGCCGGACACTTCTTGTTGCAGGCTGAGGGGATACGCGTGTGCACGTCGACGCACACACCCACACACACATACACACCACACCGGAACTGCCACACGTCTTCTCTTCCTCTCTCGCTTTCGGTCCTTCACTTTCTGTGTGTGCGGGGCTCCGTCGTAGCCGGCGCCAAACCACACACATACACACATATATACACACACACACACACGGAAACCGCGGCAACGCCTAGTCTTTCACCAGCGAGAGGTCTTGGCGGGGAAGGATACACACAATGCGTCATTCGGATCCCACGGCTGCTTCGGCGGAGGACGCCTCCAGTTTAGCCCGGAGCTACCGCTACTTTGTTGGAGGCATACAGCGTCAAATCACGCAACAAGACCTCGAACACTACTTTGCAAGCCTCGGAGACTTGTACAATTTTACGCTGAAGCGCGATTCTGCAGGCAATTCACGGGGGTTCGGATGGGCGTCGTACCGAAGTCCACCATCGGCCCTTATGCGACAAGCGGGACATGTGCTGAAGGGCGCTGCCCTGACTGTGGAGCCGGCGCGTAGTCACGGCCCGCACGAAAGCACCCGCCCTGATAGACGTGGCCAGGCGAATGAGGTGGTTCCCACGCGCCGCCGCCGCCGATCGCGTTCTCGCTCGCGTTCTCGTTCTCGTTCTCTCTCTTCGAGTTCCTCGTCCTCCATGGCGCCGCGGCGGGGCGGCTACCGTCGCTTTACGTCATCGCGTCACGAATCCGCCGGCAGCAGTTCACGGCTGCCTTCTATAGCCGTGGGAGCCTCCCGCTTGCCGCCGCTTTCGGCGCAGTTGCAGGCCCCGGCCCCTCCCGGAGGGGCGCCGCCGTCCGCCACAGGCTACGAGGCAATGTCTCTCGCCAGCAATCACGACGCCGCCAGTACGGCGGGCGACACGTACCTTTGCATCCCCATGACGCTGTGCCCCCCGGAGTACCTCAATGATCCTCGAACCTTCTGCGCCAAACTTGACCAGAACCGCGTTGGCAGCCTCAACATCGTCCCAACACCGCTTGTTCCTGCAAATTCAGCACCCGTCGCTGTTTCAGTTCCACCACCACCGCCGCCGCCGCCGCCTCCCGCGCAGGATCTCAGTCAGCTTTCTTCCATGGTTAGCAGGAGCTCGCGAAACAACACGGGTTTGCCACCGTCCTACTCAGCGTCATAACCGATGCTGCACGGCGCAGTGCAAAGTGCTGGGACGCGTTAGACCGACCACAGAGCTCAAGACTTGCCTTTCCTACATCGCCTAGAGATTTGATTTGAGATTAAAGGAAATAAGTGCAAAACCGCAAGACTGAAAACGGATTGGAATTAAGCATGTGTGGTCAGCCGTCGACTGGCGAGGCGCTGGAGGGGGTTCTATCGCCCCCACGCACGGCCGTGCGCTCGTGCCGCGGCTGGCGCTCTCCACTGTTGCTTACTCCTAATCTTATTTTAATTATTTTTACTTTTTTTTTCTTTGTTTGTGTTGTCGCTCCTCCTTTTCTCTGCTGCTGCTGCTGCTGCTGCTCTCGTCGTCGTCGTCGTCGTCGTCGTCGTGGCCCCGTCAACACTCGCGGAGACCGCCCCCAGGCGGCCCCGCACGCCACTTGGCGCAGAAAATGGCGTGGCGAAAAGCCGACCGCAACGTCCCGCGAGGGAAAGAGAAATGAAGCTGAGGCGAAAAAAGGGGGAAAAAAAAGCGGGGGAAAAAAGAGGGAAAATCAATAATAGTAAAAAAGAAGAAAACGAGGCATCAGGCCAATGAGGGAAGAAAAAACGAAGGGGACGGAGAGTGAGGCCCAGCAGGAGATGCGTTGCGTAAGCGCTTATGCCTTGTGAGTTTTGCTGCCTTCTTTTCCCGAGTGGGGCACCCGCGCCTCTCCGCGGTGCCGTGCGCCGCCGTCTCTTCCCAACCCCCGCGTTGTGGCGGTGGTGGTGTTGGCCTCGCGCATCTCCCCTCGACTGAAAAGCGGGACGCAATCAAACCCCCATCCGACGACTCCGCAAGAAAACGTGCTGCAGTCCTCCCGCAATTCCTTCTTTCCGGCACCTCCTCTCCTCCCTCGCCGTTTCAACGCGGCTGGACTCCGAGTACGGCATGCACCTCTGTGTGTGTGTGTGTGTCTCTTTCTCTCTCTGCGTGTGCGGTGGTAGTGGGGTGGGTGGGCGAGGGGCTTATACTTCCTCTTTTTCTGCCTTCTTTTTTTTCTTCTTTTGTTGGCGTGTTTGTTTGTGTTTGCTGGAGGGGGAGTTACGAGCTGCGGCGGCTGCGCCGTTGCATTGACTGTTTTCTCCGCCTCGCTCACTTTTCCCCTCCGCGTACACATCTGTGTTTGTTTCCCCTTGTGTGCTTCCTTTCGCCTCCGCATGCCCAGATGAGCCCGGCGCCCAGACGACCGGCCGCACGGAGGTCTACGGAACAGGCGCGTCTCGTCGAACAAACAACGATGACGAGAGCACGCGCACGCACGCACGCACGCACGCACACAAAAAAAAAACAATTGCGAATAATAAGCCAATAAGAGGCCATAATAACGAAAACAGGCAAACGAAGGCGAAAGAGTGAGAATAAGAGTGAGTGGTGCCATTTGGTGAGACACGCATTGAAGGCGGGGGTTGCACATCGTTATTTGCCTCTCTGTTTCTGTTTCTGTTACACGCCTCTTTCTACGTTGTGTCTTTTTTACTCCCTCACTTTTTTTTTTTGCTTTGGCCGTTTGCGATTGTAGATTACGTCTCACACGACTGTGAAGAGGGAAAAAAATAGAACTTCATGCATTTACATCCATCATTTGCGCAGGCGGTGCAGGAATGCGTCTCGAGGTATCCGTTGCGCCATGACCCGCGCACCGCGCCGCTGGCGTATGGGACGGCCGGATTTCGTACAGCAGGAGTTCTGTTGCCTCCTGTGGCGGCGCGTGTTACCTTTGTGGCGGTGCTGCGGGTGTGCTGGGCCGTTGGTAACCGCGCGGCGCCCGCTGGCTGTTCTGTCGGTTGCATGGTGACAGCCTCGCACAACCCCGCCGCGGACAATGGCTTGAAGCTTATCGACGTGGATGGTGGCATGCTGGCGGTCCTCTGGGAGAAAGTCTGCACGGCGGCCGCCAACGCCGCCACCGCGGCGGAGCTTCTTGCCGTTTTGGAGGAATGGGCGGTCGGCAGTAATATTGCCACGCCTGCCTCCATGGAGGAGCTGATGGTTCGTTGTCCCTTTTCTGTGGTGCACCTTGCACGTGACACGCGCTCGTCTGGGAGGGACGTTCTCGCCGCCGTACATGCCTCGCTGCAGTCGCTGCACGTGCCCTGCAGGGACCACGGCCTCATCGCAACGCCGCAGCTGCATTACTTGGTGCTGCGCGCCAATCGACCCGTGACGGTGGCGGAGGTCCCAAACGTTTCCGACTTTGGGCCCGCGCTCTACAGACAGGAGGTGCTTTCCTCTCTGGCGGCACTGTTGCACGCCCTGGCGACGTCGACGCCGAATACGCGACGACGTCGCCAGAAAATTGTGTTGGATGCGGCAAATGGCGTGGGCGCCGTTGCCGTCAAGGCTTTGCTTGCGACGGCGCAGCAGGTGCTTCCACAGAATCCGTTGGAGGACTTTTTTGACGTCGTCGTGCTGCACGACGACTGGGAACACGAGGACGCCCTTAATCATATGTGTGGCGCCGACTTTACGCAGCGCACCCGTTCTCCGTCGGAGGCGATGAAGAGGTGGGCCGCGGCGCATGCGCGGCAGCAGCTGCAGGAGGCTGCCGAGGAGCGGGAGGAGGTCCACTATTACTCGCTCGACGGCGACGCCGACCGTGTCGTCGCGTTCCTGCACGACTGCAGTGGGGGGGACGAGGCGTGGCACTTGCTGGACGGCGACCGTGTGGCCATTCTGTACGCCATGCTGCTGCGGCGGTGTCTTGGGACGGCGGCGCTGCAGCTCCTCGACGTGGGGGTGGTGCAGACGGCCTACGCCAACGGGGCCTCGTCGGAGTACCTGCAGCACTGCCTTGGGCTTCGCGTGTACTCCACCGCCACGGGCGTGAAAAATCTGCACCCCATTGCCCACGCGCGTGACATTGGCGTGTACTTTGAGGCCAACGGCCACGGCACGGTTTTGTTCAACACCGACGCCATCGCATCGAAGCTCGCGACACCGACGGAGCCGCACGCGCGTGCCTTGTTGCGGCACCTTCCGCTGCTTCTTTCGCAGGTGTGCGGGGACGGCATCGCCGACGCGTTCGCCTGCGAGGTGGCGCTGTTGGCGCTGCAGATGGACTTCGCCGCCTGGTATCGCCTCTACGCGGACCTGCCCTCGCGCCAAACAAAGATTACAGTGCCGAACCCAAAAGTAATTACAACCACCCCCGACGAGCGGCGGGCATTGACGCCGCCGGGGCTGCAGGAGGCGATAGATGCAGCGGTGACTGCCACAGCTTCGGCTGCGCAATCGGTGGCGAGAGCGTTTGTGCGACCGAGCGGCACGGAAGCGCTGGTTCGCGTCTACGCTGAGGCGAGCAGTGCGGAGCAGTGCAAGCGGCTTAGCGAGGAGGTGGAGAGTCTCGTGCGGCGGTACTGTGGCGCACCGGCGAATGGGGCGGCGGTGCAGGGAAAGTGAGCTAAGCGCAGACATGCAACGAGACAATTTGGGGCCAAAGTAGGGGAGCGGACATGTTGTCGGTGTGTACACGTGCCCTCTTATGTGAGGCTTGTTTCTCCCAACTATGCAGTCCCACTACCTGTATCTGTAGAGAGCGAGAGAGAACGAGGGAGGTGCGCGTGTGTATGTTTTGCATTCAAACTGAATACCACTTTATTTACGTTTTTGTTGTTGTTGTTGTTGTTTTATTCGCATATTTTCTCTAGGAGCGGATGGGGGAGTGGATGTGGATGTGGATGTGGGGGTGGGGGGAAGGTTCGGGCGGGAAGAAGCCTTGAAGGCTGATGGGACGTTTTGTGTGCCTCCCCGGCCTTTTTGACCGTGGCCTAATGTGTTTGTTGTTTTTCAAAGAAGCCGCGTTGGGGCGCGGCGAGGGCGACCTTGTCTGTTTTGTCGTGTTTCTGCTGTCCGTGCGCCTCTCTCTCTCTCTCTCGGTGTGTGTGTGTGTGTGCGCCTTTGCCGCGGCGAAGAGGCTGCAGCTGGTAAACGAGCCACACGACTGCCTGCGGGCGAGTCCACTGGCGGTGGGGTGGGCAGCGGCGTGCGTCCGCCTCTTTTTTTTTTCTTCTTTTCTTCTGCGTGGGTTTATGCGTCTGCCCCTGTCCGTTGGTTGTCTCCCCACTGCACCCTCTTTCCTTCTCCATGTACGTCTCTCTCCTCGCACATATACATATACATATATATACCTGGCCGCAGGAAGTAACAGTTGCGTGCACCGCATTGGTATCGCCGCAAGTGGTGGTCAGGCCACACACACGCACGCACACGGACACCGAACGCGCACACGGACACCGAACACGCACACAGACACGGACACCGAACACGCACACGGACACCGAACACGA